GGGGGGGTGGAGGGGGGCGTGTGCTCACCTCTCCCCTTCCCGTCCTGTGGGCCTGTGTGACTCCGTCCTCCCCGTGGCTCAGACCAGCTGAAGGCCCTGCAGAGGAACTACGGCAGGCTGCAGCAGGATGTCCTCCAGTTTCAGAAGAACCAGACCAACCTGGAGCGGAAGTTCTCCTACGACCTGTAAGTGTGTCCCGGCACCAAGTGCGTGCACTCGGGCGGCCGAGCTCCAGGCCTCGGGCAGCGGACGGGCCGGCTAGTCGCCACTCGCCCTCCCTTTTAGGGAGAAGATGGAGAAGGTCCCGTCCCCTCCAGGAGTCAGGCCCTCAGAAATAATGCATTTTATGTTTTAAGTGTTAGCAGTGCTTCAGAAAGGCATGGGCAAGTGTTAGCCAGTGGCTCGTAATACAAGGTAAATAAGAGGGCAGTTCTCCGTAGCAGGAAATGACTTGCTCAGCCTGCTTTAAGCCGTAACGTAACCTCACGCTCTGCGGAGCACAGGTGACCTGGCTAAGTCGGTACATCCAAAGCCTTTAAGCGTGTGTTCCAGAAGTGCTCAGATGTGACCTGCGTCCACCTCCCAGATTAAGGGGCAGGTAGGTCTCTGAAAGGACTCTGGCCATCTGCGTGGTGACCAGCGATGTACCAGAACAAGTCTCCGCACACCGATTGTCTTGGTGTAGGGATTCTGATGTCTTCCAAGCTATTGTCCACCGTGACATCTTCCTGATCACTTTATTTATTTATTTTTTAAATATATTTTATTGATTTTTTACAGAGAGGAAGGGAGAGAGAGATAGAGAGTTGGAAACCTCGATGAGAAAGAAACATCGATCAGCTGCCTCCTGCACATCTACCGGGGAAGTGCCCGCAACCAAGGAACATGCCCTTGACCGGAACCGAACCCGGGACCTTTCAGTCTGCAGGCTGACGCTCTATCCACTGAGCCAAACCGGTTTCGGCTCCTGATCACTTTAAAACCAAGTACAGCCCAAACTAGGAGCCCCCCAGTACATAAACAGGCAAAGGGCATGGGTAGTCAAGGCAAAGGAAACATAGTAAGAAAACATGCATAGATGGAACCTTGTTCAGCTCGGCCAGGGGTTCTCAGTGGGTGGCATTGTGCCCAAGGAGACTTTTGGTGGGCATTTTTGATTGTCACAACTCAGAAGAGGGGCTACTGGCATCTAGTGGGTAGAGAACAGGGACACAGCTAAACATCCTGCAAAGATGGGTTTCCTCCCACAATGAGGTTTTTCCTGCCCCCAAATAGCACAGATGCCGAGTTGAGAAACCCTGAGCTAGGCTGGTAATCAAAATTTCCAGACAAACATGAAGGGCCCCAGTCTTACTATTACTCATCCTTGAAAGACACCTTAATGCACATGTTTCCCGTCCATTGACTGAAATACAGTAAGCCATTAATGGCTTGGATATATTTGACCTAGAAAGTTTTAGCTGGACATCAGCCAGGGCCCAGTGACAGGAAGGGCAGCTCTGCCTCCCAGACAGGAGCATTCAGACAAGCAGTGAGCGGAATGTTCTAACCCGGGTTGGCCATGTGTGTGGGACGCACTGTTTTTCTCTTAGGAGGAGGATAGATGGAAAACTCGGGCTGAGCACATCTGTTTCATTAGTTGTGTCCAGAGCCCTGAGGCAGATACAAGATGATTCCCAGGGATGATGCTCCTTGAATGTTGAAAGCTGGAAAGAGTTAGTTGCTTCTAACTGTCTTTGGATTAGAGACCCTTTGTGAGGATCTGATAAAAGATAGGAACACCTTGTTAGCCAGTTTACGAATGGACATGTACACAGCGCAGTGCATCAAGGTCCCACAAACTGAATGCGCAACTTTGTGTATATGTCCATTTATAAATGTGCCCATCGTCCATTAGAACACCCTCTCTGGCCTCAGCATTTTACAGAAGGCCATGCTGAGAATGCAGAAGCTGAGGAAAGGCCAGGAAACCTTCAAATACCAGAGTGAGCATTCATCCCCACTTCTTACTCCTGCCCTGTGGCAGACATCACTGAGCGATCACTGTACTTGATCCAAACACAGCCTTGCATGTCCTCCCCAGAGCCCCTAGAGTTGGTGTATGGGATGAACTGCCTGTGCTCTCCTCTCCATGCCATGAGGAAGTGGGCTGATGGAATGTCATCAGTAACACTCTGAGTCAGCACCCTGGATCCTCAGCATCTGCCTTGATAGGTCCCTGTACTGAGCACATTCTGTTCATGGTCCTCTGACCATCGGTTGCACCGTTTAGGATGATCTCTGGCGGCCCAGTCTTGTAGGTCTCTCCATTTGAGCTCCCGTTAATGCCTGAGCATGCACCATGAAGGTGTAAGGAAAGCCACCCCGCGGCCTCCAGGAAGGAACACTGTCCCGATCTGTGGGACCTGCACGTGAGCTTGGTTCTGCGGTTGCTCCTCTTGTTGCTGTTGAGTGGGGACGTGGAAGCTGACCTTAATCCGCAGGGCTGAGACGCACAGGCTCTTTTCTTTGTACTTGGCGTTGGCAGGGCTGAGAGCAGGCGCAAACAGTAGTTCCTTTTGTAGGTTTAAAGGTCCAGCAGTGGCCCTGCACCTGCTCCTGTGCTAATCCTGGGCTTCTGTGACGTTGTTGGATCACAATGAATTGGACACCTCTGGTTCTTTCCGTATACAGATGTCTTTTTGTTTGCTGTGCTGAGCTACGGGGCACTATACCGCCCTCGGCTCGCATGTGTGTGAGAATTTTATACAAGCGAATTTTCTCCAAGTCTTCTCTTGATCTGTAAGCTGTGCCAGGTTAGGATCTCTGTCTTTCATTATTTTAAAGTACCTGGTGGCCCTCTGTGTGCGTGGCTGAGATCCAGTAAGTCCTGTGAACTGACGAGTACAGCACCAGAGTTAGGGGTCGCGTGCACTTGGCCTGGCTCTGAAGTGGGTGTGGCTCGGAAGAGGCCGCCGTGGGGCAGTGGGAGCCTCGCAGTCAGGAAACCACAGTCTGGCTTCTGATTTCAGCCTTGCCTCTCTTCCTCTCTGCAACCCTGGATGGTGTCAGTCAGGTCGCCTCTTAGCTTCCTCATTTGTCCAAGTGGGTCATTCTCTCAATTACTTCATAACAGACACTTGAGTTCCAGGCACAAAGCTGAAGTGATACCTCAAAGTGTCTCTGCTGATTGGGAGCTCGGGCCGAATGAGATTCTGTGCTCCCTCCGCAGTTCCCTCACACCAGCTGGGTATCCTCCAGTTCAGTTCAGTCATTTCCATCTTTTAATATAAGTTTTGAATTTTGGACTTATTGCTAAGAGAGTAGAGTTCCCGTATATCTCATACCCAGTGTCCCCTGTTGTTAACACTTTACATTAGTGTGGCATTTTTGTCACCATGAACTAACCAATACATACATTACTGTTATTTTTTAAAATGTATTTTTATTGATTTCAGAGAGGAAGGGAGAGGAGGGAGAGAAGGATAGAAATATCAGTGATGAGAATCATAGATCAGCTGCCTCCTGCACACCCGCTACTGGATGTCGAACCACAACCCAGGCATGAGCCCTGACAGGGAATTGAACCGTGGCTTCCTGATTCACAGGTCAACGCTAGACCACTGAGCCATGCCGGCCAGGCCACAGATGATGTTTTAAAAATTGTTTTTTTCTAACCAGTAAAGTTTACCTGTTCTAGAACAAGGTGACATAGTCTTAGAAAGTTTCAGTCAACTACAGTCTTCTTGTCATTTAATAAGAGCACACATTGTCCTGCTTACGTGTTGTCTGTAGATGACGTGCCTGGGGCAGGGGAAAGTGTCTCCTGTGGACTTCAGTCACTGCAGGGACACACCTGGCGTACAGACACCCCTGTAGATGTTTGTCCTTTCCTTCTGTCCCAAAGGAGCCAGTGCATCAATCAGATGAAAGAGGTGAAGGAGCAGTGTGAGGAGCAGATAGAAGAAGTCACCAAAAAGGGGAACGAAGCTGTGGCTTCCAGAGACCTGAGTGAACACAAGGAACCAAGCCAGCAGGTAATTCTGGATTTCACTGCCAAGGATTTGCAGGTTTTCCTGCCGGTCTCCAGGCATTTTGTTCCTTTGTCTGCTGTCTGGTTTGCTCTGCTCTCTGCTCTCCCCAGTGGGTTTGCTTCCCTGAGATACCCGGCCTGGCCCTGGGGTGCTGAGTAGGCTGGCCTCCGGGCCCAGGCCCTGTGCCCTGTGCTCTGGGCTCTACCGGGATTACTTCATGGACAGCTCACAGCCACCTTGGGAGGGAGTTGCTGCTGTTTTCATGTTTTGAGGGTGTTGAGGCCCATGGTGATAGTTAAGTGCGATGGCCAAGGTCACACTTAACCTGGTTAGTGGTGGAGCCGATCAGAGCCCATGCCTCCAGGCTGTCTCCTGTGTAAAGCACATCCCATGAAATTGCTTCGGGGAGTTCTTCATTTTTGTTTTAAAATATGGCAGCTTTATTGAGATATCATTTATATACCATACAATTCACCCATATAATATTTGCAATTTTTTGGTTTTTGGTATATTCACAAAGTTGTGAAACCATCATTGCTATCAATTTTAAAACATTTTCATGACCAAAGGAACCCCATACTCATTAGCTCACCCCCCACTTACCCCAATCCTCCCCAGCCCTAGATAACCACCAGCCCATTTCCTGTCTCTCTAGAGTTGCCTGATCTGGACATTTCATATCAGTGAAATCATTATGTGGCCTTTTGTGTCTGACTTCTTTCCCTTAGCATAATGCATTCAAAGTCCATGTTGTAGCTTTATTTTTTTATGGCTGAATAATATTCCATTATATGACATACCACTTTTCTTTATTCATTTGTCCGTTGATAGTTATTTGGGTTATTTCCAATTTTTTTGGCTGTTATGAATACTGTGGCTATGAACATTCCTGTACATATTTTTGTATGGGCATAAGTTTTCATTTCTCTTAGGTATATACCGGGGAGTGGAACTGCTGGGTCATGGTAAATTAATGTATCGAGAAACTGCCAAACTATTTTTGGAAAGTTATATCATTTTACATTCTCACCAGCAGTTTACGAGGGTCCCAGTTTTTCCACATTCTTGTCAACTCTTGTTATGACCTACCTTTTACATTACAGCCATTCCAGTGGGTGCGGAGTGTTTTCTTGTTGTGGTTTGGATTTACACTTTCCTAATAACTAATGATGTTGAGCATCTTTTTCACGTGCTTATTGGCCATTTGTATATCTTCCTCAGAGAAAATGTTTATTAGCTCCTTTGTCATTTTTGAAAGTTATTTTTTATTGAGTTGTAAGAGTTTGTAATGAGTTCATACATATATACAGCTATTGGACATATGATTTGCAAATATTTTTTCTCATTCTGTGAGTTGTTTTTACTTGTTGGTGTTCATTGAAGCAAAAAGGTTTTACTTTTGATGAAATCGTGTTTATATATTTCTTGTGTTGCTTATTCTTTTGATGTCATATCTAAAAATATTTTGCCTAACCCAAGGTCAGGAAGATTTGCTCCTGTGTTTTCTTCTGAGAGTTGTATAGTTCTTCACATTTTGTTCTTACATTTAGTCCTGTGCTCCATCTTGAGTGAATTTAGTCTTTGTAGCTGCTGTGAGGATAGGGATCCAACTTCAGTGTTTTGCATTGTCTATCTATCCACTTGTCTCAGCACCACTTACTGAGAAAAAGAATCCTATTCTTCCCCACACTGAATTGTCTTGGCACCCTTGTCAAAAATCAGTTTGCTATAAACACGAGGGTTTACTTCTAGACTCTCACTTTTATTCCATTGTCTATCCTGTCAGTACCTCACACACAGTCTTGGTTACTGTAGCTTTATAGTAACCTCCAATGTTGTTGTTCTTTTTCAGGATTACTTTGGCTATTCTGTATCCATTGACTTTCACTATGAATTTTAGGATCAGTTTGTCAGTTTCTTTAACAAAGCCATGTGGGATTTTGAGAGGTTACATTGAATCTGTAGATCAGTTTGAGGTGTATTCCCCTCTTAGCGGCATGAAGTCTTCAATCAGATGTCTTAACATATTTAAGGGATGTCTTTCCACATATTTAAATCCTTTAGAAATCTCTTTCAGCAGTGTTTATGATTTTCAGAAGTCTTGCACTTTTTTTGTTCAATTTATTTCTAAGTATTTTTTGATGCTATTATAAATGGAATTATTTTCTTAATTTCATTTTCAAACTATCTTTTGCTGGTATATAGAAATACAATTCATTTTTATATTGATCTAACTTGATATTTTTTTGAATGATTTTTAGAGAGAGTGGGAGGGAAGGAAGAAGGGGGAAAGAAACACTGATTGATGTGAGAGAGACCCATTGATTGGTTGCCTCCTGCACGGGCCGGGGATCAAACCTGCAACCCAGGTATGTACCCCTGACTGGGAATCGAACCTGAGACCCTTTGGTGCACAGGCTGGTGCCCTAACCACCGAGCATACTGGCCAGGGCTACATTTACCATTTGCCTACCATAAGCACCTATAGACCAACTTTAAATAATCATTTTTTGTGAGCATTTTCAACTGAAACTATTCAAGAACACCCGAATTGTGAGTAATATGTTTATTTTTATAATATTCATTACAAATTGATTTTTTAAATTAAATTTAAAATATCATGGCGTGTGGGGATGGTTTCCATTTTAGATTGTGGCAGTTAACTCGTTGAGTTTTAAATGTTAAACTAACTTTGCATTCTCAAGATAAATTCCTTGGCTGTGGTATATAATTCTTTTGTGTGTTGTTGAATATGACTTGCTAATATTTTGTTGATGATTTTGGTGCCTATATAAGGAATATTGGTCTATAGTTTTATTTTTTTGTAATACCTTTGACTGGCTTTGGTATCAGGGTAATACTGGCTATAAAATGACTTGGGGGGTATTCCTTCCTCTTGTTTTTTGGAAGAGTTTGTGAAGATTTGGTATTCTTTAAATGCTTGGTAGAATTTACTAATGAAGCCATTTTAGGCCTGGGCTTTTGTTTGGGGGGTGGGGTTAGAGGGGTGTAATTTTTAAGTTACTAATTCAATCTCTTGTTATAAGTCTACTCAGATGTTCTACTTCTTGAGTCAGTTTTGGTAGTTTGTCTTTCTAGGAATGTGTCTATTTCATCTAAATTATCAATCTTGTTGATAAACAGTTCTTCATAGTATTTCCTTATAAATAATACTTTTTATTTGTGTATGGTTAGTATTGTTATACCCTTTCATTTTTTTATTTTAGTAATTTGAGCCTACTCTTTTTCACCTCAGTTAATCTGGCTAGAGGTTTGTCAATTTTTTTCATATTTTCAAGAACTTGATTTCATTGATTTTTCTCTATTTTTCTATTTCTTATTTCATGAATTCCTTCTCTAATCTTTATGATCTTTCCTTAAGTAGGCTCAGTTTGCTCCTGTTGCGTCATTATCTTCATGAAAGATTATGTTACTGACTTTTGAGATCTTTCTTTTTCTTAATGTAGGCCTATACATTCCTTCTAAGCACTGCTTTAGCTGCCTCCCATAAGTTTGGTATGTTGTGTGTTTTTTCTGTTTTAATTTTTCTCAACACTTTTTCATTGGACTTGTGATTTCTTTGATCCATTGGTTATTTGTGAATTTCTCAAATTTCATTCTGCTATGATGAACAATTTCATTCCACTGTGGTTGGAAAACATAGTTTGCGTGATTTCAGTCATTTTAGATTGGTTGTGGCTCATTTTGTGGCCTAGCCTCTGTCTGTCCTGGTGAATATTCAGTGTACACTTGAGAAGAATGTATGTTTTGTTCTGGTTGGGCTGAGTGTTCTATTGATGTCCTGTCTACTTTCTTTTTCCTTATTGATCTTCTGCCCACTTGTCCATCCACTATTTTAGTTTTTCATCCATTATTGAAAGTACTTTCGGGGAGATCTTGACTCGGCCTCGGATGTTCTGATTTCTGCCAGGTGAAGGGGCACGATCGGGGTAGATGATGGCATTTCTCAGGGTCTCAGTGTTCGCTCAGGGTTGTTATAAGGTTGCTAGTGACAGAGCCCTACCATGGCTGTCCTGTGCTCCTGTTTCAGCTCCGAACTCCCAGTGAGCCTCAGCCCCCGGCAGAGGTGCCACAAACGAAAGGGAATGTGCCCGGTAACGGTGAACCCCAGACGCCAGTCCCCAGTTCTGAGGCGGCTTTGGATTTGAGGAGAGAGGGTGAGAAAGGTAAGTGAAGCTTGGTAGTTAGTTACATTTTTAAACTCCCGCCAGAGCCCCATTCAAATAAAAGTCAGTGTGGATTTCAAGCCCTGCACTCACACACATACTCGGAGGGCAGAGTGTGCTGCTGGAGGCGTCAGCGAGCTCGATAGTGGGGCTGCAGGTGGCAGGTGTCTCTGGGCACCTGGAACTGGGGCCGCAGGGTTTCTCTGTCTTGCTGGTCTCATCCCTGTAAAGTAAGTGCCTGTTCTGTGTGCAGAAGGGCCTAGGCTGTGCCTTTATTCAGGACAGGGTGGGGCTGGGGGATCACAGGTGGTAGCTGAGTCCTAGGCACCTGTCAGTGGCTCCCAAGTACTTGTCTCCAACATACAGTGGTCAGATGATCCCAGCAGTGCACCATCCCCCACCTGTAGGTTGTCACTGTAAACAAGGTAACTTAGTCCAGATTTTTTTTTTTCTAAACTACTTTTCCCTTTCTCCTGGTTCTGAAGATGAACGGCAGGCCCCAGTTCTGACAGGACTGGAGCCTTCTGCTGAGGTCACTAAGCATATGACCCAGCTGCCCCACCTGTCCTCAGCACCCCCACCCACAGTCCTTGGGAGGGCTCTGGGAATCGCGTGGTACGAGGGTTTTGTTTTAATGAAGTTAAATGGCAGGGGGCTTACAGCTAACATTGTTCTATGCACAGAGGAAACCAATGACATTCAGGTCATCAGCGAGGAGGCGCTTCGGAGGGACAGCCAGGCGCTGCCACGGGAGCCAGACCACGAGCAGGCTGTGGAAGCAGACAGACATGTGGGCGGAAGAGACACGGGAGATGTTAGAGACCCCGGCCAAACCCCACAGGTGCCAGCCACCCTGCTGATGAGCCAGGAAAATCAGGAGGTGGAGGAGCCTGAGCGGGACCAGCTTGTGGTCCGGGATGGGCAGGAGGAGGAGCAGGATGCTGACGAGGAAGGTGGGTGAGAGGCTCTGTGGGCTGCCCATTGACATGGGAAGGGTCCCCCTGAAGTTTACCAAACAGCAGCCCATGATCTGGCGGTTCGTTTTGCCTATTCAGTATCGTTACCAAGTAGGAGGCAGGAGGGAAGAGCAGTACACTCCCTGGTACCTGGAATTTTCAGAAATAATATTCACAGGGAGCGAGGGGGCTTTTCAGGTGGGAGACCTTAATGGTGTTTAAGCATCCGGTAAAAGGCCTCCCGTGTGTGTGTGGGGGTTGGGGGGATAGACAGCGGAAGAGAAGGGAGGAGGGAAGGAAGTTAGTTTGCCAATAAGGGACACATGAATCTCACCTTTCTGGTTTTGGTTTCTTAAAGATGTGAAAAATTCCAATCCCAGCTGCCAGGAGCACTTAAATAGAAGGCACCTGTGCTCTGGGAGTGACCAAGGAACAGAAGTTGGGGAATGTGCTTATTACAGAAGTTATCCTGAGTCCATTTAAATCTAATTTTCACTCAAGTTTCTCTTTCTGAAGAATGTGTTCTCACAAGTTCTCCATTCAAGAATTGAAGCAATAAAACTCAGGTGGCTGATTCAGTCAGTGGCTGTCCACTAGCCGCTGGACCATTGAGCAGCTGGTCACAACGTGTAACGGCCACCAGGGGGCGCGCTACTGCAGGGCATGAGGATGCACTTCCTTTCAAGTGCACTGGTGATGATCTACTTAGGGGAATGAAGCTACAGGGCACACTGGCCTGTGCTTCATGTTCACATCAGGCAGCAAGTGCAGAGAAATATAACTAGAACTGACTTTTCCAGGTGTGCTTAAAAATTTACTTACCTATATACATATATGCCATGTTTAGGTTAAATTCTGTGACTATGTCTGTGGAATGCATTGTGTCCTGATCTTCCTTTCCAGGGATGGATGTAGTGATGAATGATGGAATTCTGTAGGTCTGATGGGAAATTTTATCCTTTGGCTCACAGCAGCCACTCGTTTCCTCCTTTTGGAGCAATGAGCTACTCTAAGGAGATGTCATTATTTATATAATAAAAGCATAATATGCTAATTAGACCGGGCAGCTGAATGACCTTCTGGACGAAGCCAGGGCTTTGAGGGCCAAGGGTCTTGCACAAATTTCGTGCATCGGGCCTCTAGTTAATTAGAAACCTGTTGTTTCCAAAAACAGTGGAAACAACCTTGAGTTGATCGTCTCTTTAAAAAACTGGGATTTGGGTTCAGCTAGGTAGGTAGTTCCCCCATTTTATATAGACTCAGAGTCAAAGTGCAATACATGAATAGAGAACTCCTACACGGTATGTGTACTGGCAGCGAATACATGAGTCCCTGTCAGTTCTGAGATGTGGCAAAAAGATCTGTCGGTGAAACCATGGTTGGAAGAAGAACCCAGTGTCTGGGCTGTGTTGTGTCAGTGGCACCAAGAGAAATGACGGAGTTTCTGTTTTATGTGTTGTCTGTGCTGTTTCAGGGAGAAACGAGCAAAAAGTGGGAGGAGATGATGACTACAACATGGATGAAAATGAGGCAGAATCTGAAACAGACAAGCAGGCAGCCCTTGCAGGGAATGACAGGAACGTGAATGGTAATGACTGTGGGGGGGTCGCCTCGTTCTCGGCGCAGTTGTGACGCTCTACTCTGTGGTCCTTCACCACGGAGGTGGCTGTACCGCGATTCCCAGCAGTAGCATAAGTGATCCGTCGCTGAAGACTTTTCTTCAGGAGCCTTCGCATTAGGGGCCAGGAGAGAGGTGCAGGGCTGAGGAGCGTGTCCATGGGGCTCCAGCCCTCGGGAGGCAGCTGGAGGATGGGTCTTCAGCGACACTTAGGGATTTCCCAACAAAACGGCCAGGTCACCGCTGATTACTCTGAAGCACCAGCCAAAAAGCCCTGTTACAGTGCACAGCGCTTTCAGGCAGCTTTTTATAGTAGCGTTTTGTAATGTTACGAATTTGAATTTTTGGAGAGTGCAGTCCAGTGGGATGGATCAGGTCTGGGTGTGTCCGTTTTGCTGTGATTGGATTCAGGTTGGGCGTTTCTGCAGCTGCTTTGCGTTCCTCTTGCCCCACACCAGGAGGCACGGATGGCAGGCTGGCGGCTTGGTGAAGGCAGTGCGCACCAGGTCTCTCCCTTGCCAAAGTCCACTTTCCATAGAACTAATATGTCATCTAGAATGGGACCCCTTTTTCCATTTTTGAGATAGAATTGACATACAACACTGTGTTTAGGTTGTACAGCCTAATGAGTTGACATGTATATCATGGAATGATTACTACAGTAAGTTTAATTCACATCCATCGTCTCAGGGATACAAAGTATATTTTTTTCCTTGTGATGAGAATCTTTAGGATCCACGCTCTTAACAACTTTCATATGTATCATAAGGCACTGTTAAGCACTTCCATCATATTGTACATTCCATCCCCATGGGGCAGGGGTCCTTTGCAATGGTTTGGCTTTACCATCCATTGGAACCCCTTGCCTAATGGTGACTTTTCTGATGCTGTCACCTTCACAGGTATTAGCTGTCATGGTTTTTTTTTTTTAATTTTTAAAATTGATTTAGAGAGGAATGGAGAGAAACATTGATGTCAGAGAGAAATATCAATTGGTTGCCTCCTCCACATGCTTCAGCTGGGGATCGAACCCACAACCTAGGTATGTGCCCTGACTGGGAATTGAACCTTTTGGTGTACATGACGATGCTCTAACCACCTGAACCACCCAGCCAGGACTAGCTGCCATTCTTTAGGGACCTCCCTACCCCAACACAAACTCATACACTCACACATATTGATTGGGTTTAGTATCATTATGAACTTATGATTTTCTTTTAAATTTTTATTTTTTCAGATTCTTGGTGTTTTAATTCTGTTTTTAAGACTCTTTATATGCTGGAGACATTGCTCCTTATCTGTGAAGTTGCAGATACCTTCTCCCAGTTTGTCTTGATTTTGCCTCTGGTGTATTTTTGCCATGCACAAGTTTCTACAATTTTTCTTTTATTGCCTCTGGGAGTTGGAAGGAATTTACCTGTGTTTTTATTTAGTAGGCTTACAAAATTTTCCTGTTAGGAAGTAAAACAGATTCAGAAAAACCACATAAAACAAAGGAGTTTTTAGAAGATGAACACCTTGTAACCACCCTGTGGCCTGTCCTCTAGAAGCCCCTCCCTATGCCCTGCCCCAGGCCCAGCACCTTCCCTCCCTGTAGTAGCAACCCCTCTCCTGACCCATCTAGTAGGCATTTTCTTATATTTCTTTGTGGGTTTATCACTTAGGTGGGCATCCCTGGACACCATAGGTTAGCCTTGCCTATTTTCCTAAATTTAATGTTCTTTAACCAGTAAGTCCCTGGGGCTCCTTCCCCTTTTCTCCTTTGTAGTCTGTTAAAGAGCCAAAGCCAGCTGACTTGGAGTTTTCCGCAGTCTGGACAGTGCAGTTTACTATGTTGTTCTTTTTACCTCCTGCAAATCAGTCTTGCTAAGACTCAGGTTCTGGTCAAGCCTTTGGTAAGATGACAGTGTTATGTTCTTTCACCAGGAGGAACGTAATGTCTGGTGTCTCTCTTTTTGTGATACAAGCAGCAATTGATGCTTAGTGCCTTTATTAATTCACTGGGGTTCTTCTAAGTCAGCTGTTTCTGTGGAGTAGTTGTAAATCAGGTATGGGTCTTAGGTCTTATTTGTGACATGTCTTTTGATGTTGTCCATGTGTTCCAAGGACAAAGTAAGGAAGATGGAAGCCACAGTCCATTCCCACTCTGAAAGGGGAGAGCTTTGGAGTGGCGAGAGCTGACCAAAGCTGCCAGTGGCTCTTAGGAGGCATGTGCTTCCTGTTGCAGGTGCACTGACAGAGGTGTTCATGAGGATTGTGACGGCATCAAAATTCTTCTGAGAGTACATTTTATAGGACATGGGACATAATTTCACCATTTCAAATATGGATTTTTCAGATGTTTGAGCTTCGTTTCATGGCACCTGTTGGCCAAACAAGTGGTCTCGTTTGCTATCTTGTCCTACGACTGCAATTCCCCATTGCAGTGTTGCTATGAGTCTTTATGACAGTTTCTAAATATTTATGTCAATGGGACCTGCCGGGCTGGTTTCTCAAAACATTTAATACTAGAATATTATGGTGTGTTTTTTTCCCTTTTTAGTTCTTAATGCAGAAAATCAGAAAAGAGACGATAAGTTTACTTGATCAGCATGAAAAGAAGAAACCCACAATCAAACTGGAATCACTTCATTTCATGTCAGGACTGAACAGCGATAACTACAAAATATTCGCAAGGGATTGAATACTGTGAAATTTACTAAGTAACATATAGACCTAAAGATGATTATTGTGGAATTTTAGTATGTCACTGGGGGTTACTTTTGAAGCATCTATATTAAAGATGTTAACATGTGTCGGCTAATAGGTATTTCATGAGAAGATCAACACCAAAAATAGAACCCAACTTCTCCAGGATAGCAACAGTGGCACTTATCATCCTGGGTCTACCTGTGTTTAAAATAAAATCCACAGGAAGAGTCCATCTTCTGGTGCGAAGGCGAGGCCTGCTGCACGTAAAAAACAGCAACCCCACCTCTTCTCGGTTCCTTCTGGAGTTATTCTCTTCTCCAAATGTGGTGGCAAGTGAGGGCACCAGCCTGTCATTTCTGTTCTCCCTGGTCAGCACTGGATTACGGGTTTCTGCTCTCCTGTGCTCATTCCTGGTTCTGACACTCAGAGGCCTGGAGCACTGACTACTAACACTACTGACAGCATTGTAAACACATTTAAACAACAAGGTGTTTGTGGGAGAATTTTTAACGACCACTTGTATAATAGCCCTTGTTGTTAATGTTAAGTGGCTTCTAATGTGAAAACTGGTGATCTGTACTTACTTTGCTAATGTTTGTAGGCAAAGCAGGATCTTCTGTAATGAGAGGGCATCACCAAAAAAAGCTATGAGTGGATTAGACTTGACACAACAGAGGCCAGAGCAGAGGTGACCCGGGTGCCCGAGGGCAACACAGCACTATGGGGAGGGTTGGTTGTGGACAAATTGCCTATTTTGCTGGAGGAAAAGGGAAAGTTGGTGTTGAACAGTATACTGCTAATAAGTTGGGAAATACTAGAAAGGGAAGAAAAATGGCATTGTGTCATAGTTTACATATTTAGGTTGTGGTAAATGCCTATCAAAACTGATTTAAAAATCAAAAGTTAATGTTCATTTGAAAATGACTAATCATAATTTACATTGATAATAGTTTTGGTTTTAGTTGGTCCTTAATATTTCAGGAAAATAGGCTTTTGCCACTTGTGAATAACTGGCAAAACCACACCAATGGCTTTCAGTGAGGCTCTCTAAGCAGTTAAGTGGGTGGTGCGCTCACTGAAATATATTTGGAGTCACAGGATTGAGATGGAGTCTCCTGGGTCATTTGGTGGGACTCCCTTGTTGGGAGAGGAAACTGGCCCAGAGGAGCTGGAGCATAACCTGGCCTCACACCCAGGGTGACCAGCTGTGCCCCTGGCAGTCCCTGAGGCAGCACCTGCTTTGCCTTCAAGTTAAGCTCTACAACTTGGATGTTCTTCATGTATAATTCCCTTTTACCTAATTGCTAAGACTGAACTTTTCCACCCAAAAGAGGCATCTAAGCGTATGAAAGTAGCTCTATAAGATTTTATCCAAGTCCTTGTCCTACCTCCCTTAGTCTTAGGCTTGATTTCCCAAATAGTTAATTCATCTCATGTTTAGTTAGGGTGCACAGAGTTGCTGAGAAATGAAATACTTAGTCCAGCTTTTAAAACTTTCAGTTTTCCTTTCATCCCTTATTTGATCGCTAAAGAACCAGCTTTTAAGTTGTGGAGATGAGATATCAAGATAAATAAAAAGTAACCCGTGATGATGATTTCATCTTCATTTACAGAGGCATCAAGGCCATTCCTTTACGACAGTGGTTCTCAACCTTGGCTGCGCATTAGAATCACCTGGAAATCTTTTTAAAACCCTGATTTCTGGGCCTCATCCTCTGGAAATTGTTTCTTTGTTACTAATGTTGTGGCCCCACCCCATAACAAAGAAACAGAATTTCCAGAGGATGAGGCCCAGAAATCAGGGTTTTAAAAAGATTCCCGGGTGATTCTAATGTGCAGCCAAGGTTGAGAACCACTACTTTAGGGGGTGTGCCATGCGTGGTTTCTCCAGGCAGTCATGCTTTATTATTACTGGCTTCCTGTGGGATCACAAGCACCTAGCCCGAAGCACAATTTAGAGGTATTATGGCTGTTAAAAAACTAAACACACTTGTGTAATAAGCATCCAAATTAAATCAGCAGCTATTCTAATCTGTAATTGGCATCAACCTAATTGGCACATGTCCTCTCTATTCTCAAATGGTGTGTGGGCAGGAAAGATGAATCATTTTATCTTTTCTCCTGCAGATCAGACTGCATGTGGAGATTCTAAGCAACCCTGGATTAGATTTAGATTTCCCGAGGAATCTAATCACAGCACACACCTAGTGTGTACTTTTGTGTGATGAAGCTTGAGAAATAAACCTCTCCCTGTTCAGTATGTTGTCATTAAATAACTAGATAATTAACATGATTGTTTTAATTGGTAATTGCTGGTTATCCATTTATAGAAGCTGGCATGGTGAAGAGAATTGTGAATTCATGGTCCTGGTGGTTAGTTTTACTACCATTATGTTTTAGCCTAAAAGATTATTACTACAAATAGTTATTCTAACACTTGTCTTTGAAATGGATTTTAGAAAAATTTTTTAATGGCAGAGGTTCTATTAACTGGGTTATATTAACTTCCTTTTTGCACATATTAGCTTAGATGTTGAAAATGTTCATTAGTGCCTGAAAGTTGGGGAAAGTTTATTTTGATTGTGTATTTAAATGTTTGTTTGTATGCTATTTCTCAGCTCAGAGAGCAACACTTTCTTAAAGTGTACTAAGCCACTGTTCCTTAAAAACTGGTTTGTAAAATTCTGATAATGTATACACTGAAAGATTATTCTAAAATACTTATCTTCCCATGCACTTAAAACACACACAACTGAAAGGCTTTAATCTCACTGGTGTGCATCTCTGGGAAAAGTTAACTGGCTTTTGATATTATCTTTATACACTTCAGATAATGGGTTTTACAAACCAAGGCCCTAGTCAATTGAGACAGATGCTTATTTTCTATTCTTACTCCTGAACTGAGTGACATCGAACATAAGTTGCCAATATAATTTACACCCCTGGAGATTCTAGTCCTATGCTGGGTGCTTAGTAAATATTTTACTCTTAAGTCCAAATAAATGATTGTGATTGATCAGAGATGTCCTAGTAACCTACTTTTCATATTAACTGAAAGTTGCCTGTTAGAAACATTTAAATGAATAGATGGCTTTTTGTATGAATGTTAAACACATGGATTAAGATGAAAACCCACTTGGCTGTAAGAGGTAAGCCAGAGTCTGTGTTGGTAGCTTGCTTCTTACTAATTTGTCTCTGAAAACTATAGTGAACGACAGTGACGGAACCTCCAGGGTGATGTGCCACATCTGCCTTTATCCAGAATTTAAGTTCACATTTAAATAGTCACCTCAGCATTTTCACTCTCTCTCCAAAAAAGCTGCTGTATTAACATTTAACATTTTTGTACCATTTAAAAAAGTAGTTCTGTGATTTCAACCAGCAGCCTACAACTGACAGGGTTGTTTTTTATTTGTTTTCCTGTAAAGGACAATCTTGCTCTGGTTTTTGAGATAGGCTCATTACAAAACTATTCTAGAACTCAACAGATGACATATCTGTGATCAAAACAAAGTACAACGCCTTCCTTTAAGGCTTAATGTTTGAATTGTAGACAGAAGTTTTCAGAGTTGTGTAATAACTTTACATGATCCTCCAAAAGCAGATAAATTCTCTTCTTAAATGGAAGGCATTATTAGCAGAGGACTACAGGAAAAAAAACCTTATAATCTTTCTGGTTCAGTATCTCAGGTCATTTCATCTCTTCAAAATCAATTTTAAAACTCTTTGGGCAGCTGTAGGATGACACAAATATTCAGTCATCTCAAGTTTTATTTTATGGCTCCTTATAAGCAAAAGCAACCAGTTCTGATTCCCTACTCTCCTTAAGATTTGGATGTATCAGATATACCAACTTGTGTGCTTGGATTGATTTGTAAATATCGGACAAATGAATCAACTTTTATCAGCTGAAGCAAACTGTTTAAGTGCAAGGACTAGACTCCAACTTGCTACTCCAAATTCCTCTGCCCTTTTATCCGTCCTGTTCCCACCATCAGTGTTTCTTTTACTAAAAAAAGGCAGTCAATCTACTGCCCTAGTGACCTTTACCTTCTCTACTCAGTTTACCCCAGAATAGCTCAATGCCACATTTAAAAATTCCATATTCCATTAATTGAATGAGCAGGTTCTAGAAAGATTGTCACTTTCCTCAAGCTTATACTACAGTTGGGAAGATAGAAACAACTATTTAAATTACAACTGAAAGTGCTAAGTACTTTTAAGGGGCTTAGCCTAAGCTTTAATCTTTTAAAAGTACCAAAGTAATAGTTAAGGACATTTTAAAAAACATCTACATTCTTAAAGGTATATAATTTAATGTCATGACATGGAATCATAATGCCCATATAATAGCCTCCCTACATAGCTTAGACTAGGCCCCGTTCAAATGTATTTTGCCTAAATCACTTGATTTGAAACATCTTTTAGATAAGTTGTTTCAATTACTCAAATGTTAAAGAGTAAACACCTTCAGCTCTTAACATGCACCAACAAAGTACTATTTTTTTTATCTCCAGTAATACATTTGGTCAAATTTATTTACCTTTACAAATACTATTTTCACTCAGTCATTCATAAAAAATGATTTATGATTAAATCTGTAATAAGACCATATAACGTTCATCAATGCATTCAACAACATCAGTTTCATCCATGGACATAATAAACCACTTTAAAACAGCAGTTTTCATTCACATCATATAAGGCTGTCAAATTAAAATCCATTTCACTTCATGTTATATGGTAAGACTGATGGGTGGGTCCTAAAAAGTAGAATCTGAAAGTAGATTTTACCCCTTCATCGTCACCTGTCAATCTCAAACAAGTTTCACAACGGGAAAATATTTGTGAGCAGAGAAATCAAATTCAGGAGGAACCTGTAAAGAAAAATCAGAAAGTCAAATGTACCTAATAAATATTTAGACAGTAAACAAAGATGATTTTTTAGAGTATTTTTAAAGACAAGGCAGTACAAGGGAGATTTTTTAAAAGCTGGTTAAATAGCAAAAAACTAAGAAACTAACCTGGGTTTATGAAGATCACTAGAAAACAAGCCGACCATCTATCTTTAGAGAATAGTTAAAGGAAAATGGACTTAAAATACAGGAAGAAGTCATGGGTCAGCAAATTTTTTAGCTCCAGGGTCACTGATAGTACTGAGCAATTACGTAAGAGTCACTGGTAAAGCCAGGCAGGAGAGGAGATAGAAAAACAATGGGAGTAAACAAATAGCAGTACATATAATGGGCAGATGCCACCGCAAATGCTTCA